ATTTTTGGGGAAAGGGCTTTAAAATATATATTGTAAGCAACAATTATTCACATCTGAGGACAGAGCTGTAATCATGATTCAAAAGCAATTTGTATGAAGTTTAAAGGTATCCAACCTATAGTGAAGAATAAGATTGAAAGCAAGGTGCATCACAATACATTTAGTGTACTTTGTTTTTTCTCTAGTATCTCTTACTGTTCCAAGTACATACTGACTTATTTACCAGTTGTACATAAAATAATGAGACTATAAAATCATGGGCCATTGCCCCCCACCCTCTATTATATGACTACCTAATCCAACTTGGCAAAATACATTTTTTTGCTAAGATTTTAAAATTTTTACCAGAATGACAAACAACTGAAACCAGTCATGATGGTTTGAGCTTTATTCCTTAGTAATTTTGTCATAATTCCGAGATAGATTTATGAGAGACTGTCCATTTTGGGCTAGACTATATCTTGATTTACTACATCATCTTTTTAATTAAATTACCCTCATATATTTTATAAGCAAACCATGAACTGTTAAAATTGATGTCGAATCTATGTTCTATTCTATAGACTATGTCATTCTACTTTCATATGATCAAAAGTTTAAGCAATCATTTCAATTTACATATTTGCAATGCAGTGTTCCTATCAGTGAGCTTTCCGTTATGGGGACAAGATGCCTGTGAAAATTAATTGAAAGGAAGAAAGATTTTATTTAAGCTCATGCTTTCGGAGGTTTCTGTCCATAGTTATTTGGCTGCATTGTTCCCAGGCCTGCCACGAGGCAGAGCATTATAGTAGAAGGGTGCAGTGGGGAATGCTGTTTGCCTTAGGGCCTCTAGGAAGCAGAGAAAGAGAGAAATAGCTCATGCCGTGGACCTCCTTCTTCTTCTGCCTTTGTTCTATCTGGGCCCATAGCCTATCGGATGGCACTGGCCATGTTCAGTGTAGTTCTCCCTCCTTCCCTCCTTGGTTTGCTCTCCCACATGCAACTTGTCTCTGGAAACACCTTCACCATCAAACTCAGAAATGGGTTCTACTAATTACCTAGTAGTTTCTTGATCCAACCAACTTGACAGTCAATATTAACAATCATAATCCTCCTACCCCACACATGCATAGTTTTCTCTGTCAGCTAATGGTACAAATATTCCAGGCGATTGTGGAGGTCTCCTTCATAGCCGTTCAACTTCTACCATTTTATATAGAAATTCTTCCAATGAGATAGAATAAGTGACTAGAATTTCTTATCGAAGTCATCAAGATATCATGTTGCTGCCCCTCTCCATTTTTGACACAGCTACAAAGCAATTATGCTATCCTCCTAAAAAGTAATCACAAAACTCACCACTTATACATCAAGCCTGGAATTCCTACTGTGACTCTCCAGTCAGTGAAGGAATGCATTTCAGTGGTTAATAATGTTGGATCCGAACTTATCTAGCCTGAGCTCTCCTTAGTCTAGGTTCTGGCACTTTTTTGAGGGGGTGGAAGGTGTACAGGGATTGAACTCAGGACCCCGAACTTGCCAGGTAGGTGCAGCATCACTGGCTACATCCCCCGCTCTAGGTTCTGTCTTTTGATTGTTTCTTTTCTTTTTTTTTTTTATTGAGTTTATTGGTACATTTAGGGATACAGTACAGTTACATTCATTGCTGGGATCATGTACCTTTACATGGCAAGTCTTGATTCTCATTTTTTTCCCCTTACCTCTGCCCTCCCTTCACCCCCTCCTCCCCTCCCCATCTACAAACACTTTATTTTCATCTTTTCATTCTCTCACATTTTTTTCTTTTCCCTTTTTGTTCTTCCCCTACGTATCACACCTTCCCTACATCTTTAGCTCCTTTCCTCCCATTTCTAAATGTCAGTAATCTTATTAGAATCTTATGCATTGTTGCAGAATATTCACACCAGGGAAACTATTCGGTATTTACACATGTGTGACTTATTTATTTCACTTAGGAGTATATCTTCAATATGTATCCATTTTCCTATGAATGAATCTATTCTCTCGCTCTTTATGGCTGAGTAATATTCCATTTTATAGAAAAACCACAACTTCTTTATCCAGTTTCCAACGGATGGGCAAATAGGTTGTTTCCAAGATTGCTCTGCCCCAGTCAAGAGTTTTTGGTTTGCCGTAATAGATTGATAGACAAGAGGGGGAGGCTACTAGAAGTGCAAATAATCTTTATGAAATGTATTCTGTGCTTGAGAATTAGTGAGAAAAACTAACCTGGATCTAAACATATTTTGAGAAGCTGATTTTAAAAAACGGGGAGAGGGAGAGAGATACTATATGGTCAGCTGCTTGGACAGGCAAACAAAGAAGATTCCTGTTCTATCAGTACTCTCCTTGAGGTCTTGACTAGCATTGTCTCACATGCACTCATTGTAAAATAAAATTGTTAGTATTGCTCTTAATTACTCTATCAGAAAGATAGTAAATTTGGCTTGTAACAAGTGATGACTATCGAGCCTTTTCCAATTCTTTCTTCACTAATATATTATTTAACCAATGCTGCATTTGTTTTCCTTTTCCTTTTTGTCAATGGGAAATGTTTTCAACAATGCTATTGAACATAATTAGGATGTCATAAAGTCACTTATTTGAAATTTAATTTACCAAATTGAGTCACCATATCATGTTGTCACAATACATTTTAGAATATTTTCATCACCTTATTATGATTCTCCACACATATTTGCAATTAATTCCAATTCTTATCTCCAGGAAACCAACTGTCTATTTCTATCTTCATAGATTTACCTTGTCTGGGCGTTTTATATGAATGGAATTATATACAGGGTAAAACGGTGTTCATAGTGTTTATGTTATGCAGTTTTTACATAAGTGTCTTTCACTTAAAATTGCATTTTAATAGTATCTTCTTTGTACCAATAGTTTACTGTTTTTTACAGTATCTTGTGGTAAGGAAGGTACAACAAACTTTTCTACTCATCTGCCCATCAAAAAATATTTAGGCCATTCCATTTCTTGGGCTATAAAAAAGTGCCGAAAACAGCATAAAAATACAAATTTTTATTGAAATTGTTTTCATTTTGGTATTCATCTAGGATGTATTGTTGCATTGTATTGTAAATTTATGTTTAATTTTTTAGTAAATTGCCAACTGGTTTCCAAAATGGGTGAAAATTTTTTTCCAGGAAACAGTGAAAGTCAAGCATGTAAGAACACATAAAACTCTATTCCAAGGCATTCATGTGGGATAAAGAAAATATCAATTTTTATTATTTTAAAGAATATAAATTACAAAACAGTTTATTGAGTTAATAAAAGTTTAGTGAGCACAGATGTTCTCGTCCAATAAGGGAGATTGGAGGAACAGGACATGAGTTATTTCCAAGTTGTTATCTAATTTCAGACATTTTAACTTTTGAAAAGTTTCTATTTCAAGAATAAGTAATGATTCTCAATTTTCCAGTGGTCCTTACTGCCTGGTTTCCTGTGTTGAGAAAGATTCCCATTTAGATTCTTGTGTTAGCTCAAGGAGGGGGGTACTACTTGATAAGAGCAACCCTCTCCAAGATAAGAGGATGTCTTATCACTTGACCCATTTATTTGTTTTTATGTATTAGAGATTGGCATGCTTCCCCTTATAAGAGGGTAAATTGAGTAAAAGTCAATTTAAAAAATATCATCAAATAACAAGTACTTTTTTTGTCCCATAGTAATAAATTTTAAGTGGTCTAATATGGGGCAGACTTAAGTAATGTTGGGGCCCAGTCTCCTTAAAAATGTGCTTTACATACAAATAGATAAGGCAACATTTTTTTAGCTTTTGGCCTTAATTTTAACCAACGTCATCTGTGAATTTAATGCAGATATTAAAACCATGGTTTTCTGGTGCCTTCTATTGGATTTGCAGCATCTTCTGCCTGCTCATTTCTGCTTAGATTCTTCATGACAATAATTGAAGGGAAAGGGGTAATAGGGACATTGTATGCATATGAATTCATTTTTGAGGGAAGTCCATCAAAATCCTAGATTTCCAGCTTCACAGAATAGATTTGCAATGTGACAAGAGCCCTTCCCACCCACTGTGGTGAGTGTTCTCTTTTCCAGCCATCAGCATTTTCAAGATAGATAAATATGAGTCTGTAATCATAATGGAAACAATGGCTGCAGCGCAGGAAATGTGCATGAAATATAGTACATCGAGAGCAGTATAACACCCGAAGTGTGGTAATGGTCTCAGACCCTCACAGGTGGTAAGCCATCTCCCTGGCTTCTCATTTCCACCCACCATTTGCCAGGTAACCTTCGCCCAGTCGCTTGCCTTCCCAGGGTGCTGTCCTCAGAACAGATGCTGTGCTTGGTCCCTGTGTGGCCTATCAGGAGGATCTCCCAGCGGGATGAGGTCACACAGACAAAGATTAGAGAAAGTGAAAATCCTTCATCATAAAGGCAAAACCTGCTGAAGTGGGAGGAAGGTCAACTTTAAAGCTGTGTCTGTGAGGATGGAGAGGGTGATTGGATGGTCAGACATAAAGGGCCTGGAAACAGCTCTTCTGTTTCTGTGTGCCATCATTAGTATGCTCTTCTCAGTACAGTTGGATCATTTCCCTACTAAAAAGCATGAAGGATACGTCACAAGAGAAAAACATTTTAAAAATCCTCCACTCATTTTACCAAACTTGATTTACTGTGAATCACCTGAATATTTTGCTAAAACGCAAATTCAGATTCAGAAGGTTTGGGGTAGGCCCTGAGATTCTACATTTCTAACATGGTCCAAGAGGCTTCCAAGCCTGCCTTTCCCAGGACCACATTTTGAACAAGTCTCTAGCATACATCCATGTCCCACGTGTCCTCTGTTTTTCTTTCTTTCAGGTAGAGAAATGTAAGCCACAGGTACATATAGTGATTTCATATGACATCATAACTATCTGAATAGTACAGTGATTCTAGAACCTCGGTCTCCTTGGGTTCCTTCCTTACACAAACTCTCCACAGAGGAGTTACAGGAAAGAGGAGAAAGAGTACTTCCAGAAGGATAATATAGGCTGAATAGATACAGTCCTTAGGAGGACATGATTTGAACAAACAGGACAAAAGGGTAAGGATGATGCGATTTATTGAATAGTCATCACGGTGAGGAATATAAGAATAAGATTTATCTGCATATCAGATCTGAGCATTCTACCTTCAATGAGCAGCAGCTTTTGAATAAACAATGACACTTGTGTGTTTGCACTTCTCTCAATTATATAGTAAGTGAATCCAGACTGATGTGAAGATTGTTTATTGCTCTGACATTTTGTGACTCTAGTGAATCCAATTCTGCCAGAGTTGGTTCATTATTCATTTGACTTTTTGTTTTTAGTTTTAAATTTTCCTTTGTACCTCATATCTGACAGAGAGAAGACAAATGTTTAGGGCAAGGCCAACCCACTGTAGAAACTTGTGTGCATCTTGCTAAAGTCTGATTTCTTCTGTATATTTCCAGAAAAAGTGTGGTCAAGATGTCCAGCATAGGTAGCAGCCAATGAATTTAGGTTCACATTATGACTTTGGGTTTAATAAAGGCTTCGATCGTCATACATGAGGATTGAAATTAGAAGATGGTATCTTTATGTGGTACATGTTTTTATTCTGCATCTCTATTAAAAATGTATATCATAAAAATGCTAATATCAACATACCCTTGTTAGGATACACCACACGTACATCCATAACTCTAGCAAGGCAGGAGCTGGCTGAGGAAATTACTGGGTCTACTAAAGCACATAGAGAAGTATCTTGCTTGTATTATAGAAGTATCCTTCTTATCCTTAGGTTATCATTCACTCAGGCAATAATTTTTTCCTCACTAAAAGAACAAAGTTATCCAAATCTACTATCAACAGTTTCCTGTTTCATTTTATTATCATTGTATTTTAATGCCTGGTTTAGTTAATGAGATTTGAAAGTCCTATAATGAGAGCATTTGAAATAGAATTCATTAACGGGAAGACATTTTTTTCTACCGTATTCAGAAAATTACATGGTAATAAAATAAGAATATGATTTTTAGAGTCTCTAATACAAATTGAGTTTTATATGAATGATTTCAGTATCCAGTTCTGGGAAAGGGGAAAGACTAATTCAGCATGTAGGAGAAATAGGAATGACAATACATAGTATTTTCTGAGCCAGTATACCATGTCCAACTCCATAAGAGACGATAGGGTAAGACATGGCTCCTGCTTGTTCAATATTCACTGTCAAGTTAGGATGACTGACATACATGAACCAATTAGAAAGCAACATGAGATAAAGCAAAATTAAATTAGTGCTACACTGTTCTGTCTCAGACTGTAAGTGATAGCTTCTTCCAGAGACCTGGGAAGATGTGGCTGTGGAGAGTAGTAACATGAGCCACCAAGACAGAGCAGAGTAGGAAACAGCAAGGAGCAGGTCTAATTCATGCTGATTCTGTCTGGATGATTCATGTCTGATTCTGTCCAGTTACACCTAGTTTTTTTGTTTGTCTTTGGTTTGTTTCTCTTTTGAAAATAGATTTTCTATGGTTGTTACCAGTATTTAAAGAAATAAAACTAAGACTCAGAACATGTGGATTCAAGACCAAGTTTTTGCTATGCAAAAAAATTGTGCTTGGCATGAACTCGAAGAAAACCACCATTCCCAAGAAGAGATAGTAGGTGGCAGTGAGCTCACTTTTCCTGGAATAAACAAATGCCTTCTTTGGGTTGATGGAGAGCGGTGTCATTTTTGAGGACAGCAAATTATCTGTAATTAGACTTACTTTACTGTTAAGATCTCATCTAAGTACTGTGTTCAGTCAAGATTCCCTATATAGAAACTTGAAGAAGCTGTTCAATGTTTAAAGTCTGCAAGGCTTTGGGGCATGAACTGCACCCCTTTCGTATCTCTCAAAGAGGTATTCCTGGTGAAACCATCTCCTAAATGCCACTGCTTAGCTAAGAGGAACACAGGCAGAAGAAGGTACCTCCTTCAAGTTAGAGGGGCAACTGGAAGACATCTTGGGAGAGGCCCAGTCTTTCCTGGAAGATGAGGAAGTCAGTGGAACTCTCAATACTCAGCAACTGATGGCCAGAGAATAAAGACGTACAATGCCCCATGGTGACCAACTGGATCATTTACTTGATTGTGGAGGATACGGATGTGCAGGAAACACCCTGGGGGAGTCCTAAGTGGATTAGAACTGGAGGCGTTTCATAAGGACCTGGAACAGAGGAGAGAAGGGGATGAAAGAGATAGTGAAACTTGGGTCATTATTTGAAGACCCACATTCAAAAATAGTCTTAGAGCAACAGGGAATGTAAAACGCATCACACCGATAGTGTTTTGCCTTCCTAAAAGTTAGCTAAATTGTTGGGATATCATTGTTTTCAGCTTTTTTCTACTTGCATATGCATTTACTTCTTTCAGATTAGGGGTACACTTTCTCATTTTCTTAGTTATAGTCACGAGTAAATACAGAGAATGGTTATGACACTATTTTTTAAACTCATGGCTCTCTATATTTTTAGCCTTATATCTTTATTTGCTTCCTTTCAATTTTTGTGAGAGAATTTTGGTATTTTTGTTTGTCTCAAAACAACACCCCTTTGAGTTCAAGCTGAGGCCTGAACTTGCCCGTCACTCTTATGATCTTGCAGTTTTTATCTTGAGTTTCCTTTAAGGGAAAGTTCCTATTATCACTTATCTTGGGATTACCAGAATGATTCCTTCACATGTTAATGAAGACCCACCTTCATCCAAGTGAGATAAGAATATCTTATTTTTGAAATGGCAAATGAATCAAGGGAAGTCTTGAAAATTTTTTTTCATGGGGTTTTCTGAACTATAGCTTGGAAGCAAGATTTATTACCTCTCAAGTCACAAATCTCAAAGGAGAAGCATCTTCAGCTTTCTATGTCCATTTTGGATTTACATGAAAATGAAAGTAAAAGAAGTTAGATAGATGATAGATTGACAGAGAGAAAGAGAGGGACAGAGACATAGTCTCTGCCCTAGTGACCCCTAATAACCCTGGTTTCTTAATTTCTTCTGTGATGTCTATTAGCGTCTCTAAAGTTATTTAAGTAAAATACCCAAAACTCTTAAATAAAACTGTTTTGAGCTGAGTTTTGTCACTTGCTGTCAAAAAATTCTACTAATATATCAATCAAATAGGAGAGACGTAACAACACTTCAATCCATTGTTATTTTCTTATCTTCACTTGAAAAGTTGTAACAAGAATATCACCAATTCGAAGACAATTGCTTCCCACAGCCCTTATTTTTGTGAGGATAATACAGAAACATTTGAAGCAGTGATTTTTTTTTTTTCTGCAAGGACAGGTTAGGTCCACTTGATTCTTACTTTTATTTTTCTTGTCTTCATTCTTATTATTCTCTACCTAGAACATTCTTGTTACTATTATGTTATTTTAGCATTAGTTTGAAGTTTTATTATAACTTAAGCAATATGTCATAAATTTTCAAATTTCTATTATGTTTTCCATGGATTTTTAAAAATGTACATCATCTATTTGAAAGGCCTTGACTTTATCATGCACAGATGAGATATGTAGTTAGTTTAAAACTGTTTTCCCCTATTTATAAAGACAATATTTTGAAAAACTTAGAGGGGAGAGAACATTGATTCAGTGACATCATCATTTTCCTTAAAACATTTTCCTTCCATATCATAGTTTTGGTATTAGTCACTTGGTTGAAAAAATTTATCTTCTTTTCAAATCTCAATAATGAACATAGATTATTCTTGCAATCAGAAAATAAAATATTACAACGATAAAGAACTTTCATTTATTTTTATGCTACCCACATAAATAAGTTTAATAAGATTTTACTCATTTTGGTCTTCCAATTTTCTTTGTCTACCTGACATTTATAGGCCATGAAAGTATAAGTCGCTTAACATCACTGGCTCTCCGGTTCCTCATCTATACAGTATGAATATTAAGATCTTCAAATAAGTTAGTTAGGAGTGCGAAAGGAGAATGTTCCATTTTTAATGCCAGGTCCATTAACGATATGGGAAAGCTTTAAATCCATAAGGATTACATTTCTATTTTTTGTAGCCTTTCTAAATACAACGCTTTTTCAACCATGAGCTATCTGAACACCAAGACACAACAGAGATTATTTTATTTCTCTTAATTCAAATAACAGAAAATATATTTAAATTCAGATAAATAAAATTTACATTCCCTCAGACTTTCTATTTTCTAAAATTTGTTGAGTCCCTTCATGTTCAGAGTCCTAACATTTTTATGTGATGGTTTAGTAGTGCTGTTAGTGTATTTAGTAGGGAATAGATACTTTGTGTAAAATGCTTAATCTTTGATTAACACAAAATTGTTGCTCAGTGGGTTATGGAGATGAGTGTGTCTTTGGGTTCATGTGTAGCTTGGACATGAGACTCTTCAATTCCTCAAGAGAGAACTGGACAGAAAATAAATCTTGATAATCTAGGTCTGTGCCAAACAGAACCATATGATATTGGTGGAAAATTAACATTTCTGACAATTTGCTTTTTTCTCCATTGTATTTATATTATTTTCTTTCTCCCGAGCACCTTTTGCAGACTAAAATATACAATGATTGTAAAGAAGCTTGCAAATGGCTCCTTTACACTGTGCAGCATGGTGCTTTGGAATATTTTCTGCACTAAGACCTTTCATGGTCTGGTTTCTTTTTGTGCCTAGACTTCCTCTACACCCCACCTGAAATGTTAACCTCACCTCAGTAAATTATACAAGGTTTCCTCACATTCATCACTTTTAGACAATGGGATTCCCCTTGTAGCAAACGCTGCTCCTGAGGACCTCTTCCCAATCCCTTCTTTTAACAAATTTTGAAATTTTGTCCCTAACTCTCACATTAACCTCATATTGAAAAACACCTGTAGTTTTCCAACAATGGACTGGCATTGTTTTCCCTGCATATATCCTGTAGGAAATGACCTTGCTCTTATTTCTGTATATTTTCATATTGCTGAGAAGTTTTGCTTTTCTGGAAGAAATGCCATGATGAGTTTAAAATTATGCTAGCAATTTGGTAAGAAGATAAAATAATGAAGCCTATGTATACGTACACTTTTAACAATTTAAAATTTTAAAACGATTTAAGAGGATATTGGTGGATAAAGTAAATAAATTCTTCATGGAAGAAAAACGAAGTAAAATAATGCATTCTTAAAAGGGAATTTTTTAATTTATAAACTTTAAATGAATACATTTAATCAAGTAGAAGAATCTTAAAGCAGCTGGGCATGGTGGCACATTCCTATAATTCCAGCATTAAGGCAACAGGATCAAAATCTCCATCCCAGCCTCAACTACTTAGTGACTTAGCAAGCTCCTGTCTAAAAAACAAAAGGAGTTTCTGAAGATGTAGCTCAGTGGGAAGACCCTGGGTTTGATCACCAGTAACACAAAAAATGAAAAGAATCATAAAGTTTTGTTACTCAATGCGATGAGAGCTATATTTGAGCCATTATCTTTCAAAGAAACTCTTTATGTTTAAAACTCCCTCTTCAGAGGTCAAGGTCAAAGAGACCTTTCCTTTCTCATTTACTAGAGCTGGGAGAAAAATGTTCTTTTGACTTTACTGCCATCTGTTGTTCAAAAGGATAATTGCAGTTCTATTTTTTTTTTTTTTTTTAGTTTTATTGAGTTTATTGGTACATTTTAGTGATACAGTAGAGTTACATTCATTGTTGGGAGGTAAGGGGAAAAAATGAGAAGCAGTTCTATTTTTTTAGCAAGACCTTCTATCACCTGTTTATTAAAACTCTGACTCCTTTGTATAGATGATCCGAAACCTAGATCTTCACTTTGGACATATTCCCAAACTTTATATCCATATTCTCACTGTTTATCATATTTTCTATTTGCAGATTACAAAACTGCCACTAACTCAAGTTCTCTGTAAATTGATTCTTTAAAACTCCTATACATGTGTGCATGAAAGTGTGCGCACACACACTCTAAATTTTGGTGAACAGCATCATCAGCTACTTGTCAACTAAGGTAAATAATCCTATTTTGGCTTCTTTTGCCCTCTCTTTTCCCTCCAGAGATCACAAATTCTATTTGCTGATATTTCTTAAACATGTGCCTTTGACTCACTTCCAGCAATCCTCACCCTAGCTCAGGCTGTTATTATTTGTAGAAAAGCTGCCTCATGCTACCCCTCACTGATCCAGTGTTCATTTTCCAAATCGCTTTTCTCCTTTCCCCTACATGGCACAATAATTCTCGAATTTAATGCTGGGTTGTAGTTAGCACAACGTACCGAGCAAAAGTATATGCACATTTTAAATCCTACGCCAGACACCGCTCTCTTCCTAAGGAGCCATTGCAAAGGCAGGATCACAGGCTCTGCCCCAACAGATTTGGTAACATGACCAGCAAAATCTGTTTCTAACCTTCTTGATCTGTGAGGCCACTGAGAAAAATCTCACTGTAGGTACTCAAAACCGAATTTGAGTAGCAATACGGGCTGATGAGTGATACATAGTGTTCGTGAATACGTGCAGTCTCTTCAGCATCCATTTTAAAACCCTTGATTAATTAGCCCGAATCTGCCTTTAAATTCGATCTTCCATGATTGTTTGTCAGAGTTTCTCCTTTGTAGAGAAAGTGCTGCAATCACTCAGTGCATCTCCGTTTCGGGTTGCTTTTCTGTGATTCGTGTTTTAGCGTCTACCACTTCATTATACCTATTTTGCCAATATGTGAGGCTTCAAAATACTTCAGTTTTAGATTTCACCTCTTCCAAGTTGCCCTTTTCTTTACAGCGCAGTTATGCAGCACCACTAGCTTGCAGATAGAAAGTATTTCTGGAAAATGTATTAATTGATTGTTTTTCTTTCTAAATGGAATCATAGTGATTTTTAATGTCATTAAAAAAAGAGTTGATGTATACTTTACCTAGAGTACAATGCTGTGCTGGTCAGGGTTCAATTTGATGAGCTTTAACAAATATATAAATCCATGTAACCCAAATCAGATCCAGCTGAAGAAATATCTTTCTCATTCCAAAAAGTCTCCTCATGACCTTGTCCAGTCAATATATTCACAGAGGCTGCCTCTTTTCCCATTTTTATCATCATCAATTATTTTTGGTAGCATATTTTTTGTTTTTTTATGATGGTGTAATTTCTATAATAAAAATTTAAAAGTATAATAAAATTTCTAGGTCCTATGTGTATGATTTCATGAAAGCTAAGCATTTGACAAATACGAATACTTGAGTCACTCACACATTTGTGAAGATGTAGAATAATTTCAACACTGAAAATGTGTGGGTTTTTTTTTTTGTTTGTTTTTTTGAGACAGGGTCTCACTATGTAATTGAGACTGATCTGAAACTTCCTATGTAGCCCAGGCTGGTCTCAAACTCACAGCGATCCTCCTGCCTCAGCCTCCCGAGTGCTGGGACTACAGGTGTGCACCACTGAAAATGTGATTTTAAGAAACCACAAAACATTTAAAAAATGTAGTACTATTTTTTCACTTACATGAACAATATGTGAAGCATGGTTTGCTCCAACTGTTTTCAACATTGGCTGTTGTTATTTTTTTCATGTTTGCCATTTTGGAAGGTGGTGCTGGTTATCATGCTGTGGTGTGATTGTGTTTTCTTGATAACTGTATCTGTTTCTGGTAGTATTGGATTCCAGTAAACTTGGTGGCTTAAAAAAAAAATTAACCTTTCATGACTCTAGATACCAGAAGCCTTATCCTAAGTTGTTAGTAGTGTTGTACCTGCTTCTAAATTTCTAGCTTCTGGCAGCCCCAGGCATTCCTAGTAACACCAGTTCTGCCTCCCGTTTTCACATTTTCCTTGACTCTCCTTCTGATGGTTCCTCTGTGTGTCTGTCACAAGAAAGCTTGTTGCTGGATTTATAACCCACCCAGCGGTCCAGGATGATCTCCCTGCCACAGGATCCCTAACCTATGCACTCCTGAGAGTAGCACATAGACATAACTTCTGGAGGGCTACACTTCCGTTTCCTACAGTGAGATTGAACATTTTTTTTTCATTGGTCTTTACCTCTTCATATATCTTTCAAGGTAAAGTGTCATTTGTTAATTTTTTATCCTAAATGTTTACTTTTAAAATTTATTTGTGGGAATCATCATTATATTATAAAGAAAAGATCTCCTGTCTCTCTATATAAGATACACAATATCTATAATAGTTTTTGGTTGTGTTCTTAATGTAGTATGTTGTCTTTGGATGAAAAAATTAATTTCGATGAGGTCCAACTCACCCTTTGCTTCTTTCCTGATATTTGGGATCAGTGGTTATATTTCATTCCAATAAGACTTTGCCTACCTCCAAAACACAGATGGCATTATTTTGGGTAGGTTTGGATTTTCCACAATTTTTAAGATGTGGGATAGTATATCTGTGTCTCTTATTTCTCTTTCTAAGCACACTTATTCTGACATTCATGCATATCATAGCATGAACCGGTTTTCGTTTCTTTTTGCTGGTAGGGAATGTTTTGTGGCTATGAGAAACTTTGTGTATTCACTTCTTCAGAGATGTCTGAGTTCGTTCTACTTTGGGACTATTATAAAGAACATGAGTATGAACATTCATGTACAATTTTTTATATGGATATATATTTTTACATCTCTCAAGTAAATGACTAAGAATGGGATATTTGGGTCAGTTTGTAGGTATACGTTTAATTTTTTTGAAAGTTCCAAAATATTTTCTAAAGTTGCTATATTATTTTACATTAGTCAAGCTCAATTTCTATACGCTTTCCCCCAGTAGTTAGTATTGTGAGTGTTTTAGATGTATTAGTAGGATTCCTAGGTTAACTTGTCTTTCAAATACTCTTGGCTATGTTTTCATTTTTTACCTTTAGGACATATTTGCAATACGTAATGTTTAAACTTCTCGTGTGGAATCGGCACACATACACAGCACATCTTAATTCCTTTTTTATTCCCCTTTCCCTCCCTTCTCTCCATTTCTTGACCCCTTTTCCTTTTGAGAAAGATCTGTTACCCTACTTCCTATTACCTAACTTTTATTTTTCTCTTTATTTATACTTTTCGTACTTCATGTAAGATGTGACGTTTAAGCTTGTTTATCTGATTTATTTCATACATAATAGAGCGAAGGCGCATCTGTTTTCCTTCAAATGGTTCAAGTTTGTCATTCTTTATGGTAGAATAGTACTCCATTGTGTAAGTATAAATACATTTTCTTTATCCATTTGTTGATAGTGTTTGTACATATTTATATATTCTTCAGTACAATTTTTCTCCAATACATTCGCCCATTATATGACTGAGCAATTTATTTTTCATTAAAGAGTTTTGGTAGTTCTTATATGCTGAATATTTGTCTTTTATCTGATACATACTTTACAAAGATTTTCTTTCAGTTCATGACTTACAAAATTCTGATGAAGTCCACTTTACATTTTTTTCCTTATTTTTTCTTTTATGTATAGTTCTACAATGTATGTTTTTCTAAATTAAATCATAGCACGTAAAATAGTTGAGGGGAAATTTTTCATCTAGAAATTTTATGTTTCAAGGTTTACTTTCAGGTCAACATATATTCTGAATTATTTTTAATATTTATTGAGAGGTATGAATGAAAGTTTTCTTTTTTTGGCATATACAATACAATCTCCAGGACCACCTATTGAAAACTTGAATGCTTCTTCACTGAATTGTGATTGTACCTAAAAATGTCACAATCAGTTCTCAATGTAAGTGCAAGTTCACTGGATTCTCTATTCTGTTCCTTTAATCTGTCTTTATGCCAATGCCATGACATATTAATAATTATCTCTTTACAATATGTCTTAAAATAGAGCGTTCTTAATCCTCCAACATTGTTCTTTTTCAAAACAATTCTTTGCTTATTTTAGATCTTTTCCATTTCTGTATGAATTTTACAACCATATTGTCATTTTTTATAGAAACACATGCTATAAATTGGATAGGGATTAAAATTGATATTTAGAGGAAATGGATAGAATTACAATTTAATGATATGATCCATTAATATGACATATCTCTACATTGATTTATATATTTTCTAAATTCTCTCAGCAATACTTTTGTATCAGACTAGAGATCTGACATATATGTTGTCAGCTTCATCCCTAAGCAACTGATATGATTTATTCTACTGTAAATATCACATTTTGAATTGTTTTTGTTTTAAAATTTCAGTTTTCATTTATATGTAGATTACAGAGGAAAACTGATTTTATATGACTATTTTCTACAAATTTAATACACTTACAGCAGATTTGCAGCTTTATTATAAATTTTATGATTTTTCTCTATAAATGGTCTGCTCGTCTAGAAATAAAAATGTTAAGACTTTTTAAAATCTGAATGTCTTTAATCTCTCTCTTATCTCCTGTTACACCAACCAGAAACTGTAGTACAATGCTGAAAATAAATCTTGAGATCTGAAATACTTTACTTATTGCTCAAAGGAAGGAGGAATTGCTCAAATGTTTGATGTGATTCTATTGTAGGTGTCATTTAGTAAATTGAAGACACTATTTCTAGTTTTCTGGGATTTGAGAATCATTGGTAGATGCTGAACTTTGTTAAAGTTATTTTTCTGTCTAGTGAGAGAGTCATTTTTTATGACATTAGTTTGTTACTATGTGAATTACATTCATTTGAGAATGTCAAATGCATACTGGATTTCTGCAATAAGCCTCTGTGTTCGTTACTTTTCTCTCACTGCTGATGCAAAATACTCAACACGCAAAGTAAAACAGAAAGAGGTTTATTTAGCTCAGTGCACAGAGATTCCAGTCCATAATCAGCTGGCTCCAAGACAGAGTGGCTCATTGCAGAGGAACATCACAGAAGGGAAACAGCCCATGGGGCCTACACAGTAGCAAAAGCAACAAGGGAACCTTAAGAGAGTCTTTAGGACCCTTTTATCTTATCTAGACTACCGTGATTAGAGCAGTGCCTAACCAACTAGTGCACTGATTTAGTAAATATGCAACCTTAGTCCCAAC